GCCGAACTCAGCTCCCAGCCATGGTCCGTGATAAATGTCATGAATTCATGATAAATCATGGATTCCAGTTTGACAACAGACTCTTTCCACGGGTGAATGCATCTTCTATTCCCATTTCAGTAGATAAGGAGGTAGATACCAGGTATTCCATCGATAATTTTCCACCCAGCTGCCTCATGCTGCCAACCGAGTGGCCACTGCTGGGCGGATTTGCATGCGCTGATCGCCGCGTTGATCACGAAGCTGTTGCCTGCGGCGAAGCAATCCCAGGGACAAGACATGACAAGACATGTTATCAGCCAGTGGAAGTTTGTGAATCACAAGCCAACATCATTACATACAAAAATCATATATCATCATCATATATACATCCCCTAATCAAATCTAATCCAGATCAAACAAGTGATTCATGCAGATATACTTGCGGCTGCATTGGCTGCATCCCAGAAATCGTAAGTGCTTAAGAACCCACATCTAATAATCAGTACATATATCCCACTAATCTAACTGAGTGATAATGATGTGGCAGGTTATCTATACAATTGATAATGAAAAACATACAATAATGTAATATATATATATACATATAGTAATATATATATAATATAATATAACACACACACATATATATACACCATTATATACCACTATCTAATATATTATAAATATAAATATAAATATAAATAGATAAATAAATAAATATATATATATATGAGCTACCGCAAAAAACCCGGCAATACTAAATATGTATTGGACGGACATTGGTTTATGGAAATTGATGGAAATTGTTGAAAACACACGGTAAGCGATGGGACCTTCCCAAATTAGCGATACCCCTTTTCAAGGTTATGTCAAGTTATGTCATTGTATTTCTCTAATATCCACATTAGCGATACCCAAATTGGACGTTGATTTATGTGAATTATATATATATATATTATATAAATGTAGAAGTTTCCTGCAAGCAATGCCCCCAAGTTTAGCATATATCATGATTGTACAAACGTGTGGTAAGCGATGGGACCTTCCCAAATTTGTGGATGTCCTTTCTGTGAACCTAGGGTTTTCGAGATTGCTCAATATGTATATATATATATATACACCTGCATCTTCCAATGTATGTAAAATTATTGCTTTTTCAGGAATTATTGCTGGCGACATGTTTTTCTGCCCGCGAGCAAGTTTTGTATTTTTCTGCCTTTGCACGTGTTTGCCGGTGTTGAAACGGCGCAAAACCCCAACGAACAGCGAAAAAACCCGACGAAACGGCGAACACAAAATAAGAACCCAAAATGCGAAGACTGAAACGGCGAAAAAAACTAGAAACGGCGATATTTTAGGCAACCGGCGACAATAATTATTGCTGTTTCGCATTTCGAGCGATAATCTTGCATAGGTGGATTATCCAGATATATCCAATTTGCCATATCTGCTCAATGTCTGCGTCATATTCCCTACCATGGCCTTGACAGCTCGGCTGAGAGTCTTCCAATAGCCTAACCGTGGCGTGGCGCTGGGTGTTTCTGCGGAGAACACGTGGCATCTCGCAACACAAATTTAACATTGTGATATGTGTTGTCCAGCAGATATGTGATATAATTTGGTATAATGTAAAAATAAAACATATTGATACATGTTGATACACATTGATACATATTGATACATATTGATACATATTGATACATACTGATACATATTGATACGAATATAACCATCTCATATCTCTTGCGATAACATGTGATAACCAGATATATCTTAGCAAATGAGACCAGGTATTGTGATCTTGGGCTTCCTCCGACCACGAAAGGAATAATCTCTGTATGTTTCAAAAGAAACACAACATGTTTGGAAAGCAACGCGCTAGTCCAAATAGGAATGAAAAAATGGGAATGAGACCGTCATCTGCGGGTCAGTCATCGCCTTTATCAAAAAGTATTCCCGTGTTCCGTATTTTGCAACTTGTTTGTGGGCCACAAACACATTGAATCCCATGCCCCAACCGCCATGCAAAATCAAATGACGTCGATCATCTATCTGTATTCACAATATCAACAAATTCCTTTGCATATGTTTAATAATGTCCTTTGAAACCATTAGCCAACCACAATTTGAAAATAAACATTCTGCTTTTATAAACAAACATCAACATTGACTTTAGGCCCAGTCTTGCGGTATCTCCCACAACCGCCATTGCCGAACCTATATTGCCATATTGTTTCAGCTGTTTCAACCAATGGATTCATCTGGTTTGATATGTCCACTTTTGCAGGATATATCATGATTTATCCCCATCTTATGGAAACCACAAGAAAAACTTATATACTGGTACATTTGTTGGCCGAACTCCACTGGCAACCTATTTCTAGCAACCGGATTTGTCCCCCTCCCGTTTCATCAAACATGGCCAGCTGGGAATCCCCAGTATCTTCCTATAAACTTGCTTTTGAATGGGAACATCATCCAATGGAATATGTTCAATCCAGCCATGTTTGATGAGCAAAGGGTACTTTTTTTTCTCCAGCATCATTGATCAGTTGGATAGTATTGTTGTTATCATCATATGAACATTCTTAGCTCACATTTACCACCATCTTATGTTGGTGTAAATGCATACACCATACATTTGGATAATTGTAACAATGATTATAATCCCAAAGAAAGATATAAAAATAGTAATAATAAGGGGAACAAACCAGTCATCCCAGTCATCATAATGATACCAATTCACTAAGCCGAAAAAGGCCTTACCCTTACATGCGCCATCATTTCCAGTGACGTCGTGACATGAGGTCGTCGTAATTTATCCAAATACCTGGACCATGTGGCTTTATCTGAAAATAGGGGTACCCCTAAATCATCAAGTTTAAACAGAGTTTAAAAAACATAAATCATCAAGCTATTGGGGTACCCCCATGACTATGGAAACCTCCTTGGAAACCCCCTGCGTATCCATCCCCTCCAACCAACTCCCTCCGACGATCCCAGCATCTGCAGGGCAGCTTCCCAGGCAAAAGCTCGTTCGCAGGCCGTAATGGCCTGGGAGATGGCTTGAATGGGAGCGCCATGGCTTGCAAATTGCAAATTGACAACATATTATACGTATATTTAAAACACATATAGACATACATACATACATGCATACATACATGCATACATACATACATACATGCATACATAGATAGATACATAGATAGATACATAGATAGATACATAGATAGATACATAGATAGATACATAGATAGATGCATAGATACATAGATAGATAGATGCATAGATACATAGATACATAGATACATAGATACATAGAAACATAGATACATAGATACATAGAAACATACATACATACATACATACACATACATACACATACATATACATACATACACATACATACACATACATACACATACATACACATACATACACATACATACACATACATACACATACATACACATACATACATACACATACATACATACATACATACAATACCATACCACACCACACCATACCAAACCATACCATACCACACCATACCTACATACCATACCATACCATACCATACAAAACATAACATTGCATTACATTACAAAATACATACATACATACATACATACATACATACATACATACATACATACATACATACATACATACATACATACATACATACATTACACACATACATACATACATGACATGACATGACATTACAATACATACATACATAGATAGATGCATAGATAGATACATAGATAGATACATACATAGATACATACATAGATACATACATAGATACATACATAGATACATACATACACATACATACACATACATACACATACATACACATACATACATAAGTACATACATTCCATTATATATATATACATACACGAACCTTAGATACCTGCCAAAAATACATATGCGTTTTAATTTTGTTTGGCTGGTTAGGACATTTTACCATTGACAGCAAAAGATTAGAGTACTAAAGTATCTAACCAAGGTTGATCCAGAGATATATAGTGGGAAAATGCATAACTTATATATAAATAAATCTGGATAAATTATAATAGTTCACTAACCTCAACCAGTGCTATATTGGGATGATTCCCCTTACTAACCAACATTCCAGTGAGGTCGGAGTGAGGTTGTTATAATTTACCAAGACATATATATATATATATATATATATAGATATAGGGAATACCAACCAACAAGGTAACCTATTCATGGGGAATTTTGTGTGATATACTGATGAAAGTGGTGATGCATTAAGGGTGCAATGGGAATTAAAGCTTATATAAGCAATAAATTCATTTAAATATGAAAGAAATGGTGTTGCAGGTTTCATGCACGTAGTATAGATGTTAACATACAATGATACTCAGCCGAGGGCAATTGTCCTAGTAAGTGGCTCATAAATCATAAGACATCATAAGACTATCCCAAGACAGTCACGAGTATCCCAAGTAATAAGAAACTCGTAGTATCGGCCTGCAATATGCTGCAATCATAATTCCACAAAAATGAAATCTTTGTGCAATCAAATTTGGAGATGGATTTCCATTTCCGGTCAACCAGCTTTGACTCAAACTCCAGTTGCCAGGTGATACTTCGAATGTCTTAGAAGTCTTAAAACAAGGTTATATCTGGTGGCGGCCCATCATTAGAACCAATGAGCCATGATTCTGGGCTCATTTTACAATTTCACGCGCCAAGAACTGTGGGAATGCGGGACCATTAACAACATGAAACACGCAGAAAAAAACATGTTTCATTGAAAGCGGGGCGCACAGCCCCAAGATGCAGCAAGCAGCTTGTTTTCCTATCACGCTGATGCTTGAGCCAAAGTCATGGCCATAAGTCTTAAATGAATTCTCATGTACAACATGCTAGCCTATACATGGCAGGTGGTGACTGGAATAGGGTCTGTTTCCTGACACCCCTCCACAGCTGAATCACGTAGTGATTTGGCTGACTTTCAGTGAAACACTTCAACCACCACACTGTTTACATGGCGTGTAGCCACGTTCAACAGCTAGTGACCTGCGGCAGTTCTGTACATTACCACGGAAAGCTCTCACCATTCCGCAGCTCATGCGATGATACCGTACACCGCCTCCAAGTATAGCCACTAGGTCATCTTGTGGTTCTCTCGCTTCGGCTTTTGGTTTTGGTTTTGCTTTTGGATTCTGTCTTTGTTCCCCTCCATGCCCTGATACTGGCATGGATGTTGAAGAACTTGCGGTGCTCTGCGCAGTGGATGTCTGCGTAGTTCTGTTGTCTGCCCTGATCTCATCTGTTTGAATCATCTTTTCGTAGACCTCTTCTTTCATGAACCTTCTTCTCACGGCTGAAAACAGCCCGTATAGTGCAAGGATGTGGACCACAAACATATAGAGCAAAAAGCTAAAGATGCTTGAGTCCTTCTCTTCATCCTCTGGCTGTGCTGCTGCGCAGTTCATCACACACAGCAGGCATGCTACAACAATGCCTCTCCTGCAGAGTGGCATAATTTGAACCAGTTCGCTGATTCTTGGGCCTGTTAGAGACTTCGTGCCCAAATCAGCCCAATTCGTTGTTGTGCTTTCTTTCCGCACAGCTAGTTCTCTTGCACGGACTTTCTCCTGCAACCATAACTCACGGATGCTAAGGTGTTTGACCTTTCCTGTGCCCGAACGTTGGGCGATGCCTTTCGCTGCTGTCGAGTCGGTCAGCATGACCTGTTTGACTCGATTGAACCCTACACATTGTAAGATGTGTTTGGTCAGCAGTCCGATTGCAGCTCCTCTTGTCAAGGAGTAGTACTCTGCTTCTCCTGACGAAAGTGCCACTGTTGACTGTTTGGCGCATCCACTGTCTAACAGATGCTCACCAAATCGCTCCATGTGGCAGGACATTGATCTGCGCGTGACTGCATCTGATGCCCAATCAGAATCTGTGTAAACCTGGAACTCTTCAGGTTCTTCTTGTAAGGCGAAAAGCCAAGTCTCCGTCGGAAACTTCAACAAGTAGCGACCAAGTCTTTTGAGTCGCAACATGTGGATTTCACACGGCTTTGCCATTCCGGCAGTGATTTCTGACAACGCGTACTGGATAGAAGGTCTACCCAAGCTCAAGTAAAGAGCTGTCCCTGCAAGATGTCTGAATCTTGAGGCTTCCGCTGCGTCTAGCGGCTTGTCGCTGGTTCTGCAGCCAGCACCTGTCAGTTTTGAGCTCGGAGTGTCAACTCCTTTTGCTCCTTCCAGCCCAAGCTCTTTTGTCAAAAGCTTGACGTATTTGCGATCTGCTTCCCAAGTGAACCCTTCTTTTGTCCACCTGATTGCTCTGCGCAGATGGTCTCCTTCCAGGCACTGACCTCCGTGCTCAGGATTGCCGATTCGCGGCAACACTTTGATTTCAAAATGTTGCAGCATGAACTCATCCAATTTGTCGAGATCTTCCGCTCGGCCTTCGGCCAGAAAGTCGTCCCCATGACAACTCATTGTGACTTGCCACTCCTTGTGATAAAACACTCCGGGGACTCCTGGCACATTGCTGAATCCGCCTTTCCTGGTCACAGTTCCGTCTACAAACTCGGACCATTGGCGGCTCGCTTCGCGAGTTCCATTCATTGCCTTGTTGAGATACCATAGGTGTCTTTGATCGTTGAGATCATCCGGCGGTACCACGGCGATTTTGCCGGTGGATGTGGCATGGAAGAATGCCACACTGACGTCGTAACGTCCGATCAGCTTGTCGTGCTGATGTTGTCCTTTGCGTTTGGTTGCCGCACAGGACAAAATCATCCTGTGAGCTTTCAGCGGTGGGGTTCCAGAGTGTACGTCCTCTCTAGGACTTGTGTTCACCTCTTGGGCTACACATCTGGACCTCACACCTCTTGGATCTCCGTCGATGGTTTTCCATCCGTCGACCCAGCGACTACGGACTATCTTCAATCCACGTCGTCTGGCCTCCTCCCACGTAATGTCAGTTTTGACATTGTGCTCGATCATCTTGTCTAGCTCTCTGCCCCTAGCGGTCTTGACCTTTTCAAGAGGCAGCGCTTCGCCTGATCTTTCGTCGAAAGCTGATGTCACATTTCCCCACTCTGGGTATCCGACGAGGAGGGAATCCTCAAAAATTGCTGCGAGTGGCACGTCATGGAGTGTAGGCAAAGTGCCTTTCTCTTCTGCATGCGTGCTTTCGTCTTGCTGTAGCAGCAATGTTGAGATGTCTTCTGCGTCTTGCAGCTCTTGGACACTGACCTCAGGGTTTCGTTTGCTTCCCTTTGGATCTGGTGCCTTCAGCCTCTTTTGGGCTTCTTGTGTGCCTTCTGTGGGTCTTTTGGCACTTGCTGAAGCCGCGGTGCTTCCCGCAGGATCAGCTGAGGATGCGGGTCTTCCCGCGATCCTTGGTGCGATTGAGAGTGCGGAGTCTCCCGCAACTCCCTGAGGCGCGGCGGTTCCCGCTGCCTCTCGCTTGGCGCGGTACAATGACGAGGAATTGTCGGCCGCTGGCGCTTCCAAGTCTTCAACTTGCGCGCTGGCACTTCCTTCGCCTTGTTGTGCCTTCGCTCGCTCTTCGGCGATGATCTTTTCGAATCTTGCTCGGCATGTTGCATTGTGTGGCTTTGGGTTGTCGTCTGAGCTGTGACAGCCTGGGCATCCTTCTGTGGATCCATGGCGAATCTGCCGTTCCACTGTGATGTACACTCCTCGGGCGCGTCCGCTTGGTGTTCCTGGCGCTGCAATCCTTGGTGTGCCTGGGGCTCCTGGCATCAAGGTTGGCTCGCCTTTGGGTTGCCACGGAACGCCCTTGAGAGCCTCGAATCTTTTCAGCTCCCATCGTCGCCCTTCTGGCCTGCGCCACGCGCTTCTGCAGCGACGGATGCCGTCTGCTGTTCCGACATAGTGTTCGTCGGATTGCAGGGATTTTCCAACCCAAATGCCAATGGCGCTCTGAGCGTCCAGCTTGCCTTTGGCGTCTTGCGCAAGTTTGTAGTGCACAGTTTCAAATGGCTCTACAACTTCACCTTTGTATTCGCGACCTTTGAGTCGTTCATATGGGGTTTTCCCATCTGCCTTCACCAGGAATCTGGTCAATTGCCATGCTGAATGGCGTACAAGCCACGGGTATGAAACACTGGAAACTTTCAGCTTGAAGTCCTTGTACCTTGATTCAAGTGCGTTCACGTTTGTGCGCACCTGTCGCGAGAGCTCCAGTACCGCCCTTTCAGCGGCCCCATTGGACGCATGAGATTCACGTGGCGCAGTTTGGTGTTGCACCTCTTTGCCATACTTCACGGCTGATGCCTCTGCAAGTGCTTTGATGCTGTGTTCGGCATCTGTTTGCAGGATGGCTTTCTGTCTACCACAAAACTTCAAAGCTTCTACTACCACATTGACGGCGTGATCATTCACTCCCTTCTGCACAACGCTGCTGAAAACGCAGCCTGTTCTTTCGTCAGTGACTACCAAAACGGGCATGACTCCTTCTGCTTCTTCTGTTGGCTCTTTCAACTCAGCCACCGTTGTCTCTTCAGACTTGGTGTTGTCAAGAACTCTGCCCAAAAAGCAATAGTCCATTGAAACTCTGGGGACTTCCTTGTCGTCTCCTGGAGTTCTTCTACGGTGACTATCCTCACGAATTTTTCCAGCCATACAAAACTCACACCAATTTCTAAAAGGAAGGTGTGTAATCGTGTGGTTGTCATACTCGGCTTTGGTGACCGTATCTGGGATTTTCTTGGCTCTTACTGGCCTTGCTGGTTCAGATGGTTCTGCAGGCGGTTCCCCAAGTTCAGGGAGAGGGGGTTCAACCTGTTGCCTGTCCTCTACTTCCATTTCCCCAACTGCACCCGGTTCTCGCGCCTCTTCCTCCAACTCTTCCGCTGGAACAGCTTTCTTGGCAGGTCTGATGGCTGCCATCACTTCCTGGCCGGTGGTGCTTCCCACACAGCTGGCGGTGCTACCCGCACTTTGGGATGCGGCATTACCCGCTACCCCTCCAGGGCTTTTATCTACCATGGTTGCTAAGGGCTTGTCATCATGACCAGTTGAACCCTTTTCAAGTGAAACCGGCAACCAATAAACGCCCCTTTTCTTTACCAACCCAAGTTTGTTGGGGGTCTTCTCAATTGCTGCTTTGATAAATTCACTGGATTTGCTGGGGACAAGAAACTGAGCGTCTGGACCAATCACAGTCCACGTGCCTCTTTGTGCCGCCTTGCCAGCACTGAGCACTGAGAAGTTGATCTTGTCAGACTCTGCGTATTCGATCGTGAATTTCCCAGCATCTGTGTTTATGGTGCTTTTCTTGTACTCCCCAGTGATTAAGGGCTGACCAGTAATCGTAACCATACCAACGTTTGACCCTTTTGAAACTGAACGTGCATGGCTATCAAACCCTTTTACAAACAAGTGACTTCCAGCCCCGGTGTCCACCAAAATCTCCTGCGTGCCATTGTTGACGGCAGCTGCAATGAGCGTCTCCTCAGGGTAGGCGCTGAGTGGTTCTGGTTCATCATCAGGACTTGCAGCATTGGGGCGGGGCTTACCGCTCCCGGGGTTAGCCTTGGCCTTTGGCTTACCCTTACTGCTACCTTTACCTTGGGCATTCTTTTCATCACTGATACGTTTTGTGCATTCTGATTTGAGATGCCCCTGCTTACCACAGTAGAAACAGGATTTGTCCTTGTTTGGATTTTGTGGGGCTTGTTGGGTACCTTTACCCTTGCCTTTGGAGTCACCTTTGGAATTCTTTCCATCACCCTTTTTACTACCTTTCTTACCTCCTTTTCCTTTGGCGTTGGGGGTTGCACCAATTTCCATTGCAACCGGCATGGACTGCAGGACACGGTTAGTCCTAGCTATCTCCAACAATTCAGTCTTGACAGCTTCATACGTATTGAGACGTGCGGCATTCTTGATGAGATGTTCTTTCATTGATTGGTCCTGAACCCCTTGAATTACTATACCCAAAAGTATTTCTTCATCTAAGGTTTTCCCCGACTCCATCTCGTACCGTGGCACTGTTTTGTCGAAGCTCTCGAGTTCGGCCTCGATGTCTGTGCCAAACTTAGTGGCCAAGATGAGGGACAAACTCCCCACGAACCTTGACGCCACCTTGGGGTGATACTGCTGGTATAGTCTCCTGTAGGCCTCAATGCCCTCTGACACTCCAGCGTTGTAGGCTATGTCCAATGCCCGGTTCCTCAGCAGCATGACCAGCACGAAGTACAGCTGGCCTGAGAGTGTCCTCTCTGTTTCTGAGAGCGCTCTGTTGGGCAATGGCGTTTGGCTTCTCTCAGCCCGGTCCATCAGGTCATTGTATGCAACGTTGATGCAAGACATGTATGACCTGAAGATGAAACACCAATCGGGGAACTCTGTTGCATCCCCTTTGAATACTTCTGGCTTCCCCAAGGTTCTGGTGTCCACAATCCCAAAACCTGAGGAACTAGCGGCGTTTGCGCTTGAATTCCTGGGCACCTCCTCAACTGTGTTGATGGAGATTGCACGTGCCCTCTCAGCTTGCATTCTCAGGATCTGCTCCTCCTGAGAGGTGATTCTTTGGGCCATCTGCCCAACCAGATTGTTAGTTTGCTGCAGCTGCTGCAGCACAGCTGTCATCTGCTCCCCAATCTGGGCTGTCCCCATCTCCATCTGATTGATCTGGGGGTCCATCTTTCTTCTTATTCACAGGGTTGGTGGTGTCCGGCTCGTCGTCCTCTTCAACCACCTTCTTCTTAGCTTTCTTGGTCTTTGGAACGTGGTACTTCTGCAATAGCGGTGTCAACTCAGGCTTGACAGGGACAAAGGTCAACCTCTTGAGCCTTTTGTTGGCAAACTTTGCAGCTTCTGGTCTGTTCTTCTTGGTACGCTCGTCACAACTCGAGCACTCCTCAGGAAGTTGCCTGCGCACCTGTTCTCCAACGGTGCCTCTTGGTGTAAGAGCTCGAATGCTCCTTGTCAGCTGAACTCGTTGGGCAAACCTCCTTTGATGCCAGACTCCTCTTGCTGCTTGGATCGCCTTGGCACCCTCGGCGTAGTTCTCACGAACCTGCCTTCTATGTTGTTCCCGTCTTGGAGCTGACCTGAGTTTGGCACCTGTCCCGGCCCTTGTAACTGACCTGAGTCTAAGGGGCGGTGCTTCCCGCTCCCTTAGGTTGATGAGGGTGACACCCAGGCGTTTCACTCGTACACCCCCTTCTTCTCTGACCCTCTTTCTGGGAGTCCTTCTTACTCTTGGCTTCGGGCCGGTTGTGTCCTCTACGACAACCGTCCTAGTGGGGGCTTCCCGAGATGAACTGGCTCCCCCTACCAGTTCGGGATAACTCGTCTCGACCCGCTCCTGTTGGGCGAGCCTCCTTCTTTCTTGGCCCCTTTGTTGTCGGGCCTCAGTGCGCTCTGCCGAGCGCTTCCCACGCTTGTTCGGCTTCTTCTTAGGAGCCGTCTTGCCAGCGCGAGTCTGCCCGCAACTGGCTGTGGCGCGGGGCTAGCCCGCAGCCACTTGTTGGTGCGGGGCTGACCCGCAACCAACCGCTGGCGCGGGGCAATCCGCAGCCAGCAGCACCCGCGGGTCTAACCGCAGAGTGCTAAGCCCGAAGGCTCACGCTACCATGAAAGCGGGGCGCACAGCCCCAAGATGCAGCAAGCAGCTTGTTTTCCTATCACGCTGATGCTTGAGCCAAAGTCATGGCCATAAGTCTTAAATGAATTCTCATGTACAACATGCTAGCCTATACATGGCAGGTGGTGACTGGAATAGGGTCTGTTTCCTGACATTCATCCTCCCCTCACTGATGCAAGGTGCGGAACTAAAGCTCACTGCATTCGCTTCCAGCCGTCTCATTGGAAGTTCCGCCAGCAACTCCTGAGAGAATTTGGACCGTCCCATGGCAAGGTATTGCTCCATATTGACCCATGGCATGGTGTACTTATCTCAAAGCATCCACCAAAAATCAACACATTCCGCTGCCAAAACCATCTCAGGTAAGGTTGAGTTTAGTTTCATGAGGATTTGAAACCTGAAACAGCCATAAGCCATCTACTTGTGAACCATCCAGCTTTTTATACATTTTTAACGGCAGGACCGGCTCCACTCTGAGGTATCTCATTCTATGTTGCTCACCCAGTTCGCAATATTTCGCAATGGGATCAAGTTTTTGTAGACCAGGTTCGATCTAAGAAAGGAACAACAACTGTGGTTTGATGTCGTGCAAAAATTCCCGTACATACTACGGATATCCGAAACGTTTGGGAATCTCAGACATCCAGCAGCATGCTCGACTTTGAGGGCATGCGACATGGCCAGTCTGCCAATCTGAGATACTTTGCAAGGAGCTTTAATTATGCAGACCTTATCATTTCTCCTATCGCAAAACACAAATCCCACTTACACGATTACCATCAACTACGGTTTATCCACTGCACATTCATGTATATATATATATGTATATATATATATATGCACAGTACAATGCATATTTGAAAATATGTAAACATGTGTAAGGTATTTTACGCGTATATCTAAATTACATATTGTGTATAAATGTCCGACACACACACACACACTGACACACACACACACGCATGTATATACGTCAGATGTAAATAATTGTCAATACAATTTACGATGTATAGATGCCGATATGATCCTCTATATATACATTGGCTCTCCAACGACCCTTAATTTTTGGTGTCTTTCAAGAAAAAATGCATTTTTCCGAAAGTACTTTTTTTGAAATCAAGTTAATCAAGTACTGTTTTTTGCATGTTAGTGATGTTCACTCATGGAGGTACAGCTGAAACTGTGGAAATCAAATAAATGTGCCACATTGCCAACTTGCAACTCATTGTTGCAGGTGCCATTTCGTTTTGGCTGCTTGAATGTGCAGGAGCAAAGATTTCCAAGTATTGGTTCTCGTTTACGTGTTTGATGCCATGGTTTCGATCTTCCTTGCTTTGATTTTTGGACGCGCTTTGCTCCTTCATTATTGCACGCATGAGGGTAGGTCTCAGCACTCAGTTGCGGACATGCGGGTGCATTGCTCAATTTTGGTGACAACTTGTCCTTGGAAGATTTGCCCATACAACGCAAACATGCAAAGGCATTTTTCCCTTCAAACGTACCTTTTTTTGCTGAGGGCCGTCCGGACGGCGTCCGAAAGTACGGAAAAATGCGTCCAGAGTACGGAAATATCCGTCCAGTTTGGACCCGTCCGAACCAAAAGGACCTTTTTTTCAAAAAACGCACCTTTTTTTCACGTCCGTCCGTCCATCCGTCAAAACTGTTTCAGCAGCTTGCGCCACAAGATCAGGGCGAGTGGATGTGCTCAAATCCCGTGTATGTTCGGCATAAGTGTCGCAATGTGCAAATGTTTGCCCCCGCAGCTCATTATAAAAAGCAGGCGAAGGTTTTATATTTCGACACGAATTGTGGATCCAAAGCTGTTCAGCCATGAAGTTTTAGTTATGCACCTGGGTCTGAATGATGTGTGAGGGTGCCTGATCCAACATCAGACAGGACAAGCACAAAACGCTCACATGATTTAGCTTAGTACTGCTGAGTGTATATAGCCAGCACCTGCTTGGAAGACAAAAGGCCTTTTTTGCATGAAAAGACCTCAAAAAGTATCAAACGTACCCAAAAAAGATGTGTTTTGCAAACGACCCCAAAAACGAAGGGTAGTGGAGACTCCAGGCAACCCACAAAAACATGTTTCAGGTGTCTTTCATTGGCGTTTGCAGTATTTTTGTTTGTTTTCGAGGTTTTGGAAAAGCTTTGCAGGGTGTTTTGGGTCCGGTATCACAAAACTATCGAGCACCGCCGGATGTGTTGCGGCAAGGTCCAGGACGTGATGAAAACTTGAGTTGCTATGGTTTGAGACAGAGAAAGTTGAGATGCCATTCGACTTAGAAAATGGATGAAAATTGGATCACAGATGATCACAGTGAGATTTCTGGATACCGTTTTGTTGCAGTGCCATGTAAACTCTGGGACATCAATTGTAGCCAGCTATGCCCAGAAAGTGTCGTACAAAGCCTTGTTCAGCTTACATCGGCGCATTTCCATACAAGGGAAGTGATGAGAGGTGCCATCGATTGCCATACAGCTACCAGGTATGCTACAGACCGCCACGAAAGGTGAAGGCCTCCCGGCCACTGGATTCAAAAGATTCTGCCAGAAGTGGGATCTTGAATCTTCAATCCTGCACTGATTTGAAGAGAAACCCTTTCCAAATCTTGAATCTGGAATCCTAGATTCGAGAGGGAAAAAGTGCTTGGGGAGATCTTGAATCTTGAATCCACTGGGACTTTAAGGTGACTTTAAAGTTCATGGATTACAAGAATTACTCCAAGGATGGGAGTGAAACATGAAAGTAATCTATGAAGTCTCTGGGTGACAGAAACTGCTCTAAGTATGGGAGTGGGCATATTAAATCATATAATATATGACCTTTGTATACACTATGTAATTACATATATATATATACAATTATATACACAATTATATATATATATATACAATATATAATATACGTGTATCGTGTGCATGTGTATGCTGTATATATATATATATATAGGATACCCCCCTTCTACTAAGTCTTTCTCCCCGAAAACGCAACACCGAAATGCCAAAGGGACCACAGCAAGTTGCCACTGCTCGGCCTTGCCAACCTTGGCCACGTTCAGCAGTCCCAGTGGAACCATGGTATCTGGGCTTGGGATATAATTGGGATATAACTCACCAACCATATATGGTGCATATATATACACGTATATATATATATATATGCCTGAGAATCAGGGTATATATAATATGATTTTTGGATGTGTCTGAAAACAGTATACCTCCAAATGGCTATTTATGAATACGTATACGGATAATGATTTTTTCAACGAATGGATTTAGCCGTACCCCATTTTCAGACTAACCCATATAGTAACCTCCAAAAAGGTATAACAGTAAAATATAGTAAAATCCTACTAAAATGGTGATTATTACGTTTCTATCTTTTTGGATCTTTTTGGTTACTATAATACTCATACAATTAGAGTAATAGCAATAACTTGGACAATACTGGCAATAGTAGCAATAACTTGGAATACGTAGTTCAAATCGTGATTAAAACAATAGGATGATAGCAATAACAATAACTTGTACATAGCCTTCACCCACGTTGTCAGTGACCCTTTTTTCTACGATCCTGTTCTGAAGAGTAGCGGTTTCCAATCAACCTTCATCGCCCACTGTTGGTGGGTGGAGGCCATGTCAAAAATAATAGCTAAGAAGTAGTGATAATGAAAATGGCAATAACCATAGTAATATATTATCATGATATTATCATGATAATACCGTACCTATTGTAATACACTGGAGATGGAAGAGTACTTACAATAATCATGATGTATACTGTATAATAAGTATCATGAGCGTCATAGAAATAAACACATGTCCAAATTAGAAATCAGGTCTATGGACGCTTTTCCTTTCCACTCATTACCAACCAAGCTGCATTTTTCCGAAACGCTGGTAGAACCAGACAATCACTCGCCAATGCGGGGGATTTCACTGCCGGCATCCCCTCTTCCCTGCTGCCAGGCGAAAATCTGTCTGTGATCGCTCTGGATTTTTCA